AGCAATTCCTCACATAATTGATGAACTTGGCTTCCACTTTGGGAAAAGAACCACCTTTTTCTATACTTGCATTTTTGCTTAAATGTCTTCTACAGAACTATGTCCTTTTGGTGTTTTAGGCATTTTTTTCCTGTTTTTTTGAAAGATTCTTGACCTTTTGATCTTGGTATTCATGGTTTTAAGTCTTTTCCAGTCTGGTTTGGTTTTTGTGCATTTTTGGCTGGAGTATCTTGGATAGATTTCTTCACTGGAGCTTTTCCTTCAGTTTCCTCATCATCAAAATCATCATCATCTTCTTCATCATCATCCTCATCATCTTCATCAGCAAGTTTTACTTTTTTCTGTGGAACCTTCTACCACCTCCAGAGGCAGACCACTTTCCAGATATACTTAAGAGTTTTACATCCTCCTCCTCTTCATCTTCTGACTCTGCATCTTCCTCCACAGCTACTAGGTGCTGTCCGCTAATGTGTGCAGGCCCTGCACCACACTTCAACCTTAAGACAACAGGTGGTGTCATTTCAAATACCCAAGGGAAACTGTTGGTTGTACAGACATTTTCAAAGTTGCCAGTGTTACTTTAATTGTACTGCCTTCATAATTCATTGCCTCTGCCTCAACAATGTGTAACTCATCTTTTGCATCAGCTCCTAAACTGACTGTTCTTAATGATAGCTGGTGTTCTTTTCATCATTATCCACCTTAAAGTGACAGTCTTTGTCAGCCTTTAGTTCACAGCCAAAAAGATAGTTCTGAGGCCTCAGAGGGCTCGTGTCCATGTCCATCAAAGTCTTCCATGAGGCAGAGGCTCTCACTTTACCATGAGAGAGGCCAGAAGGAGATGACTGAATACAGCTGCTCGCAACAGATGCGCAGGATGGAATCTCGCCAGGGCTCTCCACTCCTTTTTAATATAGTGCTTGAAACTCTTGCTAGAGCAATAAGAAAAGAGAAGGATATTAAAGTAGTACTAATTGAAAAAGAGGTCAAATTATTCCTTTTTTGTAGATGATATGATATTATACCTAAGAGATCCCAAAAATTCCACCAGAAAACTCAAACTGATTGACACGTATAGGAATGTGGCAGGTTACAAAAGTAATCTACAGAAATCAATAGCCTTTCTATATACCAATAACAAGCAATTGGAGAAAGAGTACAGGAAACCCTCCCATTCACAAAGGCCTTAAAAAAAAAATCTCAGAATAAACCTGACCAAAGAAAGACATCAAAGATCTCAACCATGCAAAATTTAATCTTTAAAGAAGGAGATTGAGGAAGACACCAGAAGATGGAAGGACCTCCCATGCTTATCAACTGGAAGAATTAATATTGTGAAAATGAGCATCCTACCAAAAGCAACGTATAGATTCAATGTAATCCCAATCAAAATCCCCATGACATACTTCACAGAATTAGAGAAAGCCTTCCTAAAATTCATATGGAAGCACAAAAGACCCCGGAAAGCCAAAGTAACCCTGACTGAGCACAAAGAGCAATGCTGGGGGTATTACTATACCAGATCTCAAACTATATTACAGAGCTATAGTTATAAAAATAGCATGGCACAAAAATAGACACATAGATCAAAGGAACATAATTGAAGATGGGAACGTGAGTACATACAATTTCTGCCACCTGATAGTTGACAAAGGTGCCAAGAATAAACAATGGAGGAAAGACAGAATTTTCAACAAACAGTGCTGGCAAAACTGGGTCTCCACCTGTAGAAGAATGAAACTAGATCTTTATCATTCATCTTCCACAAAAGTCAACTCCACACAGATCAAATACCTCAATGTGAAACTCGAAACTCAGAAATGTTAGAAGAAGATATTGGCAACAAGAAGAAAACAACCTACAAGATATAGGAGTAGGAAAGGACTTTTTAAATTGGATATCAGTTGCTCTGGAATTAAGGTCAAGACTCAACAAGTGGGACCTCATGAAACTAAAAAGCTTCTGTACAGCAAAAGAAATAACCAAGAAAGTGAAGAGAAAACCCACAGAGTGGGAGAAAAATCTTCACCAGCCACCAGGGATACATCTGACAGAGGTTTAACATGCAGAATACATAAAGAATTCAAGAAACAAAGAAGAAAACAACTCAATTAAAAGATGAACTGAAGATTCGAACAAAGAGGTTCTAAAGAAGAAATAAAGATGGCTGAAAAACATCTTAAAAAGTGTTCAACATTGTTAGTAATTAGGGAAATGCAAATTAAAACCACCTTAAGATTTCATCTTACCCCAATCAGACTTGCTAAGATCAAGAGAACAAATGATACCAAATGCTGACAAGGATGTGGAGAAAGGGGAACATTCCTTCATTGCTGGTGGGAGTGCAAACTCATGTAGCCCCTATGGAAAGTAGTGTGGAGAACTCTTAAAAAACTAAAAAGTGAACCTACCATATGACCAGGTTATACCACTCCTTGGCATATACCCGAAGGACTCATCCTGTTTCAGAGACACTTGTACAACCATGTTTGTTGTTGTGCTTTTCACAATACTTAAGAGATGGAAGCAGCCTAAGTATCCCTCAACTGACAAGTAGATAATGAAAATGTGGTTCATTTACACAGTGGAGTTCTGCTCAACTGTAAAGAATGATGAAATAATGAAATTTGCAGGTAAATGGATAGAACTAGAAACCGTTATACAAAGTGAAGTAACACAGACTCAGAAAAACAACATATGTTCTCCCTCATTTGTAAATCCTAGCACCAAATCCTTATGTATGAGTATATATCTTGATGTAATTGCAGGAGCCAGGAAAATGGAAAGTAAGCAGGGTAGTAAAGGGAAAGAAGGAATCTGAGAGAGGAGAACAGTGGGAGACAGGTGTTATTAACGGAGAAAAGTGTAAAAAGGGGGTAGTTAAATGGGAGGGGGAGAAGGAGGGCTATACAAAGAACTATGGGGATAAAGGGGAAGAAGGAGCTCAAGAGAGGTGGGAACCATAGCATACAAAAATTATCAAGGGAGAGGGCTGGAGAGATGGCTCAGTGGTTAAGAGCACTGACTGCTCTTGCAGAGGACCTGGGTTTGATTCCCAGCACCGACATGGCGGCTACAAACCATCCTTAACTCTAGTTCCAGGGGAATCTGAAATCCTCTTCTGACCTCCATGGCATTGCACGACATGAGTGCACTTACTTGCGTGCAGGCAATACACTCATACACATAAAATAAAATTAATAATAAGGCCAGGCGTGGTGGCTCATGCCTTTAATCCCAGCACTTGGGAGGCAGAGGCAGGCAGATCTCTGTGAGTTCAAGGCCAGCCTGGTGCCGGGGTGTAAAGCTCAGTGGCAGAACTCTTACTCAGCGTACATGACAAAAAGACCTAAATAAATAAATAAATAAATAAATAAATAAGTAAATAAATAAGTAAATAAATGAATGAATAAAATATTTTAAAAAATTATCAAGGGAGAAATGGGGAAAATGGGGACACTTTAAATGGGGAGGGAAAGGAGGGAGGGTTAGACAAGGAGTGAGAGAGGAGAAATAAATAGTGCCTAGCTAGTATAAAAAAAACCAGAGGGAATTGTGTTAATCCAAAAACCTACTGAAAAATTACACATACAATATCTCTATCTCTACATGAGTCCATGTGTAAGCTGAAGGCTACATAACAAGAAACAGTGCCAGACAGGAGAAACCTTCCTTTGAGTTGTTGGCCAGGGTCGTCCAAGAGACTCCCAAAATTACACAGGCTATTGCCATAGTCCTTGATTGCCTCCCAGAACTAGAAGGTAAGACCCTACTGCTGAAGACAGGACATACTTCGGACACAGGATTTGGAGCAATGGAGCTGGGACTGACCTGGAAGTCACCTCCCCTGAAGGCTAGCTCTCATAGCTTTGGAGAGCACTACGTTAGCTGCTAAGGGAGAATATCAGTGGATGGTCCAATCCCAGCTTCAAAACCTAAAAACCACATCAGTGACCGGCACAGCAAACGACATTGGTGCAGTAGTGGCACTTTTATCTTGGGGGTAATCAACAGCTACCTAATTGGACTTAAAGCCCACTCAATGGGAAGAAACTCATGTGTGGTACTATAAACATAGCCAAATACACATAGCTGGAGAGGTCTTAGATCTTAAAAAAAAACAGGATGTCATATTCCTAGACAAATGTAATTTCTTACTATGTGCAAAATATGGATTCTTAAATTACAGATATGTATCCCAGTCACCACCCATCAAAGAAGCTTCTTTTTCAGTAGATAGAGATTATTACAGAGTTCCACAATTGGTGACACACAGAGATTATGAATTGCCCAAGTCTTAAGTGGCACATCTAGGATGCAACCTCTACACCTAAGACTCATGGAACACAGAACAAGGGATAAAGAGAGCACTAATGCATCTGTCAACTCTCATCAATAAAACTCCCTCATGTAACAGAGGGATAAGAATACAAAAGGCCAAAACGTAGAGAATAAGAGTCTACAGAGTAGGGGTCCTTGGACAGGACTCTTATACTAACACCCACCCACCCAGGGTGGGTGGAAGAGAGGGCTGAAAGATTGTAAGAGTCAGGGAGGAGGGTATGAACATATGGAAATAGAGTCCTACAGGCTCTGGGACCCTTCTCATACAAACCTACAGCAATGGTGTTAGTGTGCACAAGATCTATGAAACTTAAGCAGACAAAAACCTAGCACAGAACTATGGAAATGAACAGCAAGCCCCAATCTTGGTTGAAGAATTCTTGGCAGCTGATTACTGCTCTGTGAGAAGAGCTGATCTTCTTAAAGGGAGGGACTGCAGATAGGATGCTTAGACTTCAGTAGATGAATTTCTGCTGAAGGACATCTAATTTGATATGTTAGGCCTTAACACAAATGACAGAATGTATGAATTCCAGTTTGTGGCTATGGGAGAGGGCCAATGTGGAAAGGGATATGAAGAAAATTAAGGTGTTCTCTATGAAATACACAGAAATTCAGTGAAAATTTCAAAATTCAAAAAAAAAAGTGTACATCAGTAATTTTTTCAGGAACATATTTAATGCTGGGAAGGGAAAGAGGTCTTTATTCAAAAGCTTCTGACAACCATCTAAATGTTGCTGTCAGCCTGGCCAAATACCTGCTAACATTGGCTATCTCTTCAGTCATCCATCACTAGAGAGTAGAAGGACCTGATGTTCTGGGAGGCAGCAAACCCGTTTCTTCCCTCACTTGGAATTACTTGCTAGCTGGTGTCATATTCCAGCACTCCAGTGCTGTGATGCACAACCTCTGTGCTGCAGACTAATGCTGTGGGAATGAAGGGGATCCTCTCTCCTCCAGCCCAACACCAGGAAGCACAAGAATGAATCCCATTTCTCTCTCTTCAGAGGAAGATTCCAGAGCTTCTTGGATGCTGGAAGACTAACATTACACAAGACAGCTCCAGGGAAGAGGCAAAGCAGGGTAGTGCTAATAACAGGACCTCTGGGGACAAGATCAGCAAGCTGAGAAAAAATGGGGGGCATTTCCCCCTCCTCAATCTTTTTATCTAACCTCATCTTCATTTTCCCTTTCCCCACTAAGCAGTGGTAGATACTCAACAGAGCACAACACAGGTTTTTGCCATGCATCCTGTGGAACACATGGACATCAGGGACTCCTGATTCTTCATTATGTGTAAAATACATCTCCATCTCACTCGAGGCTGTGTGAGCAAGATTTACATCCTTGGAAACCAAATGGAGGCCTTTCTTCTATTGTTTCCAGATTGCTATCATCGCTGATCCCTTCCTCCCTCAACTGACCAGAACCATGCACAAAAACAGCCTCCAATAAATATCAAGGCTTTCAGCAGACTGCTAACTCTTGCAGAGAGATCTTAAAAGGATGCATCTAAATGCAAGGTTCAAGTAGCCCGAGATCGCTAATAGCACTGCAAACATCCCGGGTTTAATTAGCAGACTTGGAGTTTAGGTAATGGCCTGTGGCTCTCTGAGCTGGGCCTCTTGAGGTTTCTAGACCGCATGGGCTCCCTGCAACTCTGATGTGCACATATACAGTGTTCTTTTCCCTACAGTACACTAATCTTCCTAGGCACCCACTCACAAGGATTTTGACACCTATGATAATTGATTACTATTTTCCAAGATTTCTAATACGGCTCAGTGTCTCATCCTAGGTCTCAAATCAGACACTTCTGGACTCCATTTGTCATCTTGAGAGCTAAGTCCTCTGGGAAAGAGCAAAAAGGAAGAAATCCCTAGGTTGGTGTTGATGTCATTTCTCTTTAAGCACAAGGTGGATCGCTGGCTTTGTAGCTGGCTCGTTGGGGGAGGGAGCATGAGCTGGAGTTATCAGCATTTCTGAACCAGTCACTGGTCAGCCAATGCCCGCAATAAGCTTTGGCTTGACAGGTTTGTTCTGGGCTGACAGCCATTGACTAGATACTCAGATAAGTCACTTGGCCAAGTCCACGGTAGGTGGGGCGCGCTCACCAGCTCAGGGGCAGTGACTGGAAGTTTGTTGCAAAATCGGTCAGCCCAGGCAGCGGGCTGCAACAGGAGATACCCTTTTGCCCCTCAGGAGTACAGAAGCAAAAGGTTCACCTCATTAGCGAAGGAGATGCGTCAGACGCCCCCAGAGCCCAGCCTCTTCTCCCACCGTTGGGAAGAGCAGTGTTGGCCGCAGATCAAGGAGTCTCACATCCCGGCCTTCTGGCTCGCTCTGCGAGTAGCAGGCGAGGGGCAGGAACAGTTTGGGAACTCTTCCCCCCTCATCGTGTACAAACCGGCGGGGGCTAGCAGAGAGGGGTGGCGGGGGCACGTGTTTGGATGTGGGTGCTTGTGTAACCAGCTCCCCAGGCGCTTAGCCCCGACAGCGCTCCTGCGGATAGCTCGTGGGCGCCCCGTCTCCTCTCCAACCTGAGAAGAGCGGGGGTCCCGCCGTTCACACCCAAAGGGACCACCACCGAGTACGGCACAAGGAGCCAAGCACTTGTCCCCGAGCACACAGCTAGGGGAATGGGAATTTGGAAAGTTCCCCAACTAGGACCACACGTGACCCTCGAAAGTAGTTCCGATCGAGGCTCGAGTATCCTTCCACCTTGCGCTGAAGCCCTCCCCGGCTCCTCGCCCCGCCCACCCTGAGGGCTGCAGCTTCCGACCGCCCCATACTTCAAACCCGGCGGGGTACCCTGGTCCTCAGGCGTGCACGGTCGGGCGTGCAGGGTCGGACCTGGGCCGAACCTGACTCCAGCGATCCATCCTGCCGGGTTTTCACAGCAACCAAGGGGGAGGGCCGAGCTTGAGCTGCACCGGGCGGACCCCCCGCAGCGGGGACCTGCCCGGCTCTCGGGGCTGTGGGGAGCAGCTGTGTGGGGTGCGGGGATCCACTTTGTCCACCTAGACGGGTGTCCTCTGGGCCCTGCAAACTCAGGGGAGACGTGTGTCTACACGCCCTGCGCGCACCGTCAGCACGCTTGGCTAGGAGCGTTCAGCTTCTGGGCAAAAGAACCAGTTACTGGGGAAGCCAGAGGTGGGGCAGCGAATGGGAGCCCGATGAGGTGATCCGCGCGGGAGACACAATAGGGGGCTGTTCTTTGTGCAAAGACTGACACCTGGAGGACGCGGGGGTGGGAGGGAGGGGGTGGGGGGGAGGGGTGCGTTATCTTGGTACAGGCTGCAGCCGACAAATCCTGGCTGCGATCTCACCAGAGCGCAGGACAGGGCACGCTAGCCGTGCCGGAGATACCTAGAGACCCGAGGGTGTCTCGGCACCTGAGGTTCCCACACTGTAGCGCGGTCAGTTAGTCCGGTCCACCTGTGTGCGGCTGAAGCGGACTCGGCCATCCTGCCCCGCGCCGGCACCCAACCCGGCTTTCCTAACCAGCCTTCCGCTGCCACCCTCACTGCGCCGCAGCCGGCCTAGCTTTGGCCGGGTCTCTGGGCAGAGGACGAGACTTGCTCATTATCCGCGTAGCCACTGCCGCCGCCGCCGCCGCCGCCGCAGATCCGGGCGGGAGGCTCCGAACGTGCCTGAGCTAGCCGGTCGGTCACACTGAGTGTGCGCGGCGTCGCCCGCAACTCGCGGCCCCGCCTCCTCCGCCCTGTCCTAGGCTCCGCCCCCTCTCCACCCCGCCCCCTCCCGCCTCCCTCGGGCTCCGGGGCGCCCCGCTCTCTCGGCGCTGGCGGAGGGGGCGGGCTGGCTGGCGCACGGTGATGTGGCGGGACTCTTTGTGCACTGCGGCAGGATACGCGCTGGGCGTTGGGATGCGGCTGCGCTCAGCTCTTTCCTCTCGGAAGCTGCAGCCATGATGGAAGTTTGAGAGTTGAGCCGCTGCGAGGCTAGGCCCGGCGCAGGCGAGGGAGATGAGAGACGGCGGCGGCCGCGGCCCAGAGCCCCTCTCAGCGCCTGTGAGCAGCCGCGGGGGCAGCGCCCTCAGGGAGCCGGCCGGGCGGCGGCGGCGGCAGCGGCGGCGGGCCTCGCCTCCTCGTCGTCTGTTCTAACCCGGCAGCCTCCTCCTCGGCTTGGAAGAGGGAAGGTGGAAGCCGTGGGCTCGGGCGGGAGCCGGCGGAGGCTCGGCGGCTGCACCTCCCGCTCCTGGAGCGGGGGGGTGAAGCGGCGGCGGCGGCGGCGGCGGCCGCGGCTCCGGGGAGGGGGTCGGAGTCGCCTGTCACCATTTCCAGGGCTGGGAACGCCGGAGAGTTGCTCTCTCCCCTTCTCCTGCCTCCAACACGGCGGCGGCGGCGGCGGCACGTCCAGGGACCCGGGCCGGTGCTGAGCCTCCCGTCCGCCGCCGCCGCACCCCCCCTGGCCCGGGCTCCGGAGGCCGCCGGAGGAGGCAGCCGCTGCGAGGATTATCCGTCTTCTCTCCATTCCGCTGCCTCGGCTGCCAGGCCCCTGGCTGGTGAGGAGAGGCAGGCCCAGCCGCTGCAACCATCCGGCAGCCGCCGCAGCAGCCATTACCCAGCTGCGGTCCAGGGCCCAGCGGCGGCAGAGAGAGGGGCGTCCGCGACCGCCAAGTCCAGAGCCATTTCCATCCTGCAGAAGAAGCCCCGGCACCAGCAGCTTCTGCCATCTCTCTCCTCCTTTTTCTTCAGCCACAGGCTCCCAGACATGACAGCCATCATCAAAGAGATCGTTAGCAGAAACAAAAGGAGATATCAAGAGGATGGATTCGACTTAGACTTGACCTGTATCCATTTCTGCGGCTGTTCCTCTTTGCTTTTCTGTCACTCCGATAACGTGGGAGTGGACGGATGCGAAAAATTTCCGTAGCGGGGGTGACTCGGACGTTGATCCCTGGCCGCACTTCTAGATCCTGTATTTTGTGGCTCTTTCCTGTGCGTTAAACCTTGGGAGTGTTGGACTGGAAGGCGCTCGTGCCCGGTTGCAAGTGTCAAGGCAGCGATTGCTTGCTTAGGCTAGCTCTCTGGTCTCTTCCCAGGGGCTATTGTCCGTAAATGCAGAGTACAGTTCACTGGTAGTAGATTAGTGAGCTCGGTAATCCAGTCTTCTAAATGAACAACAACAACAACAAAAAAAATAAATAAATAAGGAAAAAAATAGGCTTTGAGGTTGAGTATATTTCGATTAGATCTTGACTTCAGCCCTTAGATCAAGGGTACAGATGAGATGGAAGTGAAAATTAGTGCTGCACGTACGCATATTGCATCAGAATCTTGCAGTGATTGATTTTAGTTTCCTGGGTTGCATTGATAGGTTTTTCTAAAATGTGACTGTGGACCGATTTGCATAACTTTATGAGCATTTCTCCTTTGAGCACATACGGTGCGCAGTTGAGGGCAAAAGTAGGTCTATGCTTAAAGCGACTGAATTACAACTCTGAGCTTCATTTCGAACTTTTCTAGTTTGAAATCAATAGTGGCAGAATGTGCCTTACTGGAGTTCCTGGTAGAACTTTGTTGAAGTTGCCTGCTTGTTTCCTGCTGAGATATGGGGTGTAGGGCATAGAATTTGCGTTTCAGTATCATTTTATCTTCACCGGGCTTTGTACGTGCGTGATAGAACGGAGATTGAGTAGGGTTTGATTTCAGGTGGATGTCCGTGTAAGTTCAAGGATATTGTATGTTAGCAAATGGTGGCAGAGGTTAAACTTGAAGCCTTCACATGAAATTAAAGTGCTTTCGTGAGCTAGAATTTGCTGCTCGATATTTTATTTTATTTTATTTTATTTTATTTTATTTTAGGCTTCAGGTGCTCCAATGCGTTGGCTCTCCATGGTTTTACCCTGAATTGTGTAGCATGTTAAGTGTCCTTTACCAGCCTGTAACCAGAAATGCAAGCGAGAGCGGATCACTGGCTCCACATTGTAGGCATGCTGGTTCTTTTACGTACAGCCTACTGAGTCAGCTTTTGAATAAGACAGAAACCCAAGAAATTTAACGGTGTAGAGTTTTGATTGTCTACCAGTTAGGCCTTTGTACTTCAAGAGTTAGTGGTTATCTTAAAGAATGAATCTTGAAGTTTCAGGTGTGATACTGATTTTGATCAGGGGTAGGAGTAGAGCCCTCCCTCGTGCAGAATGGGAAGTACTGACACTGAGAGCTGGGGGGGGTACAGGTGTGTGAAGACACAAGGTACTGATCTGCAGTGACCATTGATTGGGTCTCTGATACGACCCAGAATTTCATCATAAGACTTGTGGCAATGATAAATACTTGGTTAAAATTATGTAATTGCGTGTTGATAGAGTATTCTTAATTAAAAGTTACTTCTTTGTAAATATCAGTAAACATTTTTTAAAGGTAGAACGACACTAAAGGGTGTGTATGTCCTGCTAATTAGTGTTCGGAGGGCATTTTTTTGAAACATGTCTTGTTTTGGAAGGGATTTACAATAGTTACCCATAAACGTGCACAGCTAATTTTGGCCAAGTTTTTGTTTTGAAATGAAGATGAAGCCTACTAAACTGCCTTCGCAAAACTTAATTTTCCATTAAGCTGAAATAATATTTTAAAGACATATTTGGAAATTTTGGAGCTTGCATTAATTGAAAAGCTTTACTAAGGTGAGCGTGATCTTTTCAAAAGATAATTGGACAACATTCTGGCTTGAGTTACTTCAAGGCAGTGTGTTGTTGGTATGAATTTGTGAGTAATGTGGAATGAGTGAGTTAGGGACATCTATTTAATTTAAAATTTAAGAAGAAAAAAAAAGTAATAAAATTCAAAGAAAAACTAAGGTGCCCTCAGATTTCTTTTAGCCTTCGAAATACAGTTATGCTGGTTTTGCTTTTCCCACATTATTTAAAATTGCCAGGGTTATAGGACTTTAAAATTATTTTTCCAAATTCTTTGTATGATGAGTGTAGTGATTGGCAATTTCTTCTTTGATTTCATAGTACTTGGGCTTCTGCATGTGACATTGATGTGGCTTAAAACTAAAACTGTACTTTTAGTTGTGTGCTTAGAAGGCAGTATCAATCAGATGACTAATAACTCTTAATTTCTAGAGTTAATGGTTTTATTGAGCCAAATGTTGATATGAAACAAAGTCAGTAGGGGAGAAGTCATTGAAGTCCTGTTCTCTTGATGGTTGTACTCTGAATAATTTTGATAAAGCGGAGAGCGTTTTTGCTTCCTTGGTTTTGCTCCAGTTCTGTGTTTGGGGCAGTGATTGAAATGGTCATTACAGTGATTGGAAAGGTCAGTGCTAGCAGCTAGACTGGTGGTCAAAGTTAGATTCTTGTATGGAAGTAGTAAGTGGCATATTTTTATTTGCTAAAGAAAGGTTAATAGTGAAGTGAGTTCTCAAGAAGTTGAGGATAATTAATTCACTTTTAAAATATTTTGCAAAATTGAATTATTCTAAGAATTCGTTGGTTGCATTTTGTTTTTAACAGTCTGGAAAATAGGCTGAATGTTGAGACTGAAAGATTTAGTGTCTAAGCACATGGAAACGATAATTTTGTTTTAATTTTTATTGTTTGGTGATTTGCCCCTTTTCAAACACTAATGTTCAAGGGAATATTTTTAGCTTGTAGAGAGTACAGTGGTTATTAATAGCAGATTTTTTGAGGGGCAGGGGGATCTTTTTGAGACAGGGTTTCCTTGTAGCCCTAGCTGGCTTGTAACTCACTATGTAGACTAGGCTGGCCTTGAACTCACAGTGATCCGCCTGCCTCTGCCTGCCTCTTCCGCCTTAGTGCTGCGATTAAAGGCATGCTCCACCATGCCTGGCAGATAGTAGATTTTTTAAAAAGGTGATTACTGGAATTAGTTTTTTTTTTCTTTTTTAAGATTCTATGCACAATCTTTTTTTCATAGTAAATTGTATTTCTTTCCTGAAAATCATGACTGGACTACCTAACTACTGTATAATAATTTACAAATTTCATTTTCCATAAAATTTATTCAAGAATAAAGTGCATCAAAAGGAGTAATTTTCAGTTATAAGGAAGAGAAACTTTATTGCTGTCATTTGTAAAAGTTTAAACAGCAGTACAATGGGGCAGATTATGTTGCTTTATAAAGTTTCGGAAAGTAGAAGAAGACTCATTGCCTTTAAAATTTTATCTTACTAACAGGAGAAGGGTGGCTAGTATATTTTAATTTTTAAATTTTATTTCTTTTAATGTGTTTTAGTGCATTGCCTGCATGTATTTAAGTGTACTTGTGTCATGCAATGGCGGTGGAGGTCAGAAGAGGGCCTCGAACTCTACTGGAACTGGAGTTACAGATGGTTGTTAGCTGCCATGTGGGTGCTGGGAATTGAACCGGGTCTTTTGCAAGAGTATCAAGTCCTCTTATAACTGCTGAGCCATCTCTCCATCCCATATATTTAAATTTTTGTGTGGAACTTTATATGTGCATTCTCATAATTACATAAAATATGCAATCTAATGCTATGAAATGACATACTTTAAATGAAGTCTTTAATTCTTATTTTTAAATATTCTTATTTTGAAATTTGTCCTTATATGCTATTTGTTTTTATATTTGGCTATAGCATAATATTTAAGAATTTTAAGTCATCTCTAAAGTAATCCCTTCAATGACTTTTTAAAAAATATTTTATTCATTATTTTTATTTTATATGTAAGAGTATATTGTCTGCATGTATGTGAGTGCACCTGTATCTTGCAATGCTGCAGAGGTCATTTGGATTCCCCTGGAATTGGAGTTAAGGACTGTTCATAGCTGCCACGTGGGTGCTGAGAATTGAACCTGGGTCCTCTGCAAGAGCAGTCAGTGCTCTTAACTGTTGAGCCATCGCTCCAGCCCCCTTCAATGACTTTTAATTAGAATTATTCATATAGGAAAATATACAAAGTTTCTGTATTCACTTTCAGTAATTTATTCAGTTTTTAATTTCATCTCTCAAGTCTTTTTAGTGAGACCAAAGTTTTGTAGACACTGTTTTTGTTTTGATAATGATATGAATTCAGAGTTTGTAAAGGTCAGTTTACAAGTGTGTACTCATAGGTCAGGTTTTCATTTACTTGAAGTTATTTGGCTTATGCCATGTTACAAGCATTTAGTTTTTAGAAGATGTTATTATTAATATAGCTTAAGACATGTATTTGGTACCTTTTTTTTTTCTGTAGAAACTATAGGCTTATAAGACAAGTTATATTGTTTAGAACGCAAACATTCCTGAGTTGTTTCTCTTTCTTCTGTAGATAAACTTGATTTTCAGAGCCAGCATTGGAGGTTTGATTTTTGTGACCTGCCTTAGGAAGGGTTACTGGAAATTGTTCTAAAGAAAATGATTTAGGACATTTGTAACAACTTCGTGATTGTATGTTGAGAGATGACTTCAACAAATATTAGCCTTTTAAAGTTGCTTTCTATCTGATAGTTTCGAAATTAGTACAGTTGCCATTGGAGATGTCAAGGATGTTGAGTATAGACTACATATCTTTAGGTTAATAAGGGCTCGCTCAACACACTTGTTACCTTTGTGTCTTATAGGTCATGTTACTAGCACATACATTCTTTGCCTGGTGAGTAAAAGTGTTTTGGTATGGGGGTAATGGGTCTCTTTGTATTGAGTAGATAGGAAAGATGAATTGGGATATTGATTTGACTCTTCATCTTCTAATTTCATATTTTCTTCATTGGTTGTAGAAGTACTAGCAGTTTCGTCTTTTAAAATAATTTGTGCTAGAATAAAAAGGATGTTTTTATTAGGCAGATATAATTAGAGTAAACATAATTTAGGGATGAATTG